GGCACCTCTTCTACTAATCTTGAGTTCTGGTGAAATTTTGCTTAAGAGTCCTTTTTAGAGACAGTAATTTTTCTTTCTTAGAGTCATGAAGATAGCAAAATATAGGAAAACTATGCATGATATATCAAGCCACCCACTACTTGGAGATAAAAAAAACAGTAATTTGTACCAAGTGGGACCTTTTTAGTGGCCAAATCAAATGTGACCTAGAGACTACCCAATCTGTGGTTGGATAAAATGTAAAGAAACAATACTTTTAAATAAAGCTGCTAAAGTCTGCTCTGAGTGGTTATTTGTACCTGGCATGAACCACTCAGGAAAAGGCAAATAAAAGCCCCAGTTCCTGAATGTGGCCTGTATCAAGAGCACTTTGACCATTCTGCCTCTAGCACTTACATTTTGTAGATTTCAACTTCAACTACTTGAGAGCCTGAGCTCCTTAACCTAAGCCTATGAGGAATGACTCTGGTGCAGTCGGGACAATGTGTCCACCCAAGCACAACTGTTGTTGGGGCTGCATTGCTGGGTCACCCTTGACTGAAGCAGGAATTACTCCATCTGGGAAAAAAGAATGACTCTGAAAAACACGAGGCTGAGGTGCCAGTGTGCACAGGATTGATGGAAACTCTCAGACAAATAGAAAAAAAAAATTTTAATTTAGGAGTTGGGACCAACATATTTGGAAACAGATTAAACCCACGCACCTTAAAAGGTTGATCCCATTGTGAAGATGTTATTTAAACCCCAAAGAAAAGATTCAAACATCACATGAAATGACATTTAAAGCTACTAATCAAAAGTCAAGGGGGCCGGGGAGTTAGCTGAGTTGTGCCACCACCTGCCTCACAAGCACAAAGTCTGGAATTCAATCCCTGGTACCCCAAAAAAAAAAAAAAAGGCAAGGAATAGAGGGTATGAGGGTATCCCTTCATAAGAGGTACATAGGAGCTCATGCCCACAGTACTACACACCCTTGAAACTGAAAAACTTCAAAGATGTTTTTATTCATAAGGAAACATGTCAAAGCTGAGTGAAAATGTAAAAAATTTCCCCTGCTAGCTCTAGAAATGTCTCCGGTGTATGATGCTCAAGTCTTATTACAAGAAACTCACTGGTATCTTTGGTAATAGTTTAGGTACGTGACAATGGGAATACTGAAGATTTTGCTATTCAGATGAAGTCCTAATTAACATCTCAGTCTTGCTGGATGGAACATAAAGGAAAGAAGTGCATAAAAAGTGTCAGCCAGCTCTACTGTGCTGGAATGAGGCCACTGCAGGAACCCAGCCTACTAGTATGAAAGTCATTGCAAGCTTCAGCTCATATACATAGATAAATATAGGTAGTATATACATACGTACACAAGGGTAATTGAAAAATACAGTGAATATTTACTTTTTTAATTTATGGGAAAGGGACCAAGAGATGGAACGGGGGGAGAGGAGAGGAAAAGAGAATTAAAATATGTTATGTACTCATACCAACCCCTCACGAGGTGTGCAATCATTGTGCCAGGCAGATGCGTACTAATACACATTTTTTAATTTAAAAATAAAAATTATTACAGTAAAAGATACAGTGATACTAATCCCCATAGTTTCAAACACACTTATCTCACCGTTCTTGTCACTTTTATAACCAGTTCTTCAAGTCCTCTTTCATGAGTCTTTTTAGGAGGTGTGATAAAAAATACAGAAAGTGCTACTGTCAGCACCATCCAATAGAAAGGTGGACTGTAAAATCACGTGGCAGAGTCCTCATCCACCCTGTTCACTCGATCTGGAGCCATGCGACTTCTGGCTCTTCCTCAAAGTCAAAACGGCCACTAAAGGTAAACGTTTTGAATCCATTCAGGACATCCAGGCAGCCAGGACAGATCAACTAAAGGCACTCATGAAAGAGGAATTTCCAGAACTGCTTCAGAAAGTGGCAAGAAAAACGCTGTGTGTTCCAAGAGAGAGGGAGGACTTTAAAGAGGATTCATGGCAATGTGTCTTTTTACTGTATTTTTTAAAAATTTAAACACGCTATATTTTTCTTTCACACCTCGTCCATGTACACAAACACTTAATTCCTATTCCACTTCTCATTTCCATTTTCTTGCCAGTGCTCCTCCCCCGCGGGGCTGCAGTTCCCCAGCTCCGCCAGGACAGCTACGCGGGGCGCGTGGGCGCCGGCGCCCGGTGTACCTGGCAGCCGCGCTAGAGTACCTGACGGCCGAGATCCTGGAGCTGGCGGGCAACGCGGCGAACGAGAAGAAGACGCGCATCATCCCACGCCACCTGCAGCTGGCCATCTGCAACGACGGAGGAGCTCAACAGGCTGCTGCGCAAGGTGACGATCGCGCAGAGCGCCGTGCTGCCCAACATCCAGGCCGTGCTGCTGCCCAAGAAGACAGAGAACCACCACAAGGCCAAGGGCAAGCAACAACTCAAATAAGGGATCCTAGCAGGTAACCTGATTTGGGGTAAAAAATAAAAAAGAGTAAAACCAAAAGAGCCTACACACACACACACACACACACACACACACACACGCCCCTCTCATACAGGAGATAGATCCCAGGGGAGCTCTGCTATTGAGCTACAACCCAGCTCTTTTTATTTGTACTTTGAATCAGGGTTTCACTCTATTTCCCAGGCTGTCCGGGAATTTCCAATCCTCCAGCCTCGGCCTCCTGAGTGGCGGGACTATTATATATTATAGGTGTACAACTTGGCATGGACAACACAGACTGAAACACCAGCCACAATTTTAGAGAAAGCTATAGACAGATACTGTACCACAGTATTTCAGTGAAGTCTAACATTTCTTTCATGAGTTAGCTTGACTGTCTCCTGTTCACCTTGTCTATTTTTAGCAATATTATGTATCTGATTTCCTTAAAGCTTAGTTTAGTATTGGGTTTTCACACAACTTGTAGTTTTGTGCAAGATTATTTTGAATGCTATCCAGCAATTTTGCTCATATGCACTGTTGCATTTGTAGTCAGATTACAGTGAATTTGTCACCGGTCTTTAAGGATTTGTATTCGGCACATTGAGATTGTGTTTTGTACTTTAATGTAAGAAAGTATGTATGTGCCACTTAGTTTAAGATTCACTCTATGGGCTCAGTTTCCCCAGAAACCACTCACTCTAGGATGGTCAGCAAGGATTATACAAGGAAAGGTCACTGATGAGGCTCCTACAAGTTGGCCACATGTCAGCCAAGGCCAATCTCTGCTGAGTCAATATCTGAATCCAGCAAGGGCTATAACTTTGAATATTATGGAAAGTACCCCAGCTTCACTTCTGAATGAACCCATGTCCAAACCACTGGTTTAGATTGATTTCCTCTTGTCTGCAACCAACTCTAATGATAACAGAATGTTGCTTTTGGGATATTGTTGCATCTCCCACAGGAGAACATTTGGTGCAATGTGATGGCTTGGCCTTTCAAAAAGGACAAATTAGGAAATGATTACCCAATCACGTAACCACTGCCGTTACCCTATGAGATTAATGGGCAGACAAACCCATTTCTCATTTCAAGACCCCAGTGATGCTTCCATAACTACACATGTGGCAGATGTCAATCTAAAACCTGCCTTAGTATACCTAACAATAGAGTGTCCTAAGCTTCCTTGGCAGCTCCCATTATCTCACAGTGGAGACCTGAAGTCAGTTCCCAGACTGGATGATGGAGCAGGTTTGACCAGAGTCCAGAGGGAAGTACCCACACAAAACCTGTGACTCTGGAGTCCAAAGGAGAAATGGGTTTGTCTGTCCATTAATCCCATAGGGTAATAGAAGTGATCGTGTAATTGGGTAATCATTTTCCAGTTTGTCCTTTTTGAAAGACCAAGCAAAAGTATTAAATCTACAAAACAGAGGAATGATTAAAGAAATAAAATAATATAAACAGAGTGCACAGTAGAGAGAATTAAAACCTTTTTGGTAGTATTACCTACAGTAAGAAATAAACATTTTACAGTGTGTTGCATACTAATTTATATGTCTATTATATGTATGTTTTTCAAAATCAAAAGTGTCACAAAATAATCCTTATGCTTACCAAGTGGGATGGGCTCTGACCCATTCCATTCTATTTTAGCTTAGTCATACTGTTTCTTTTTAAGACAAACTCTCTTTGAGGTACCACCTTTGCTTTACAAGACAGTGGTAACCTATAGTTTGAAAAACAGTGGGATGTTGGTAACAGCCAATCAGAGTAGTTACACTGCAACCCAAGACCACAGTGACTGGTTCAAAAAGTATTTTGAGTTCAGCCAGTATGAACCTTTCCTGCAATTTTCAGATTTGCAGCTTGAATTTAGTGACCTTTTTTTCATCTTTTGTGAAGAGTAAGACTCCAGAACTGACTAGCAGACATGTCTATGGCATCCTGAAGGACCCTTGTTAGCAAGACAGACTCCATATTGCTGCTTGACCCACCTGCCTGCCCTTTAGATGAACTCAGAAGGAGGAAGCTTAGAAACCTCCTCCACTTAGAGAGTCTCTTAGAAACAACAATTAATCAACTATTTTTTTACAAATATTCTAACAGCAGAACGTCTCGCTTCTGTACCAGTTGCTACACTCCCCTAACCGCCAACGTCTCGCTTCTGTACAGCTGCTTGCCAAGTTCCCTCTTGCGACCCCTATAAAAGGACCTCAGACTCTGAGCCGGGCACCTCTCTAAGCTTGGTGCTTGGAGGGTGCTGTCTGGCCAGACTAATAAAGGTCTGTTTTACTTTCACAACTTGTCCAGTGTGTTCCCTCCCGGGTGATCTTCACTGTAGTCAGCTCCTTGGAGCATTTGGTGAGGCCCACGGTCTTACAATCCTGAAGACTGAAAGAAGAGATGGAAAGAATGAGAAGACAGGTGAAATGAGAATTTGAAGAATTTTTATTTGTTTTGAGAGGAGAGATTTAACTCCAGTCTCTGTGGTCTCCAGAACTGTGCTTGCTGGTATTTTCTGCAACCTACCCAGTCTCCATCTTTCCTTTTATCCTTTCTTTTGCTTCCAAAGCCATTTCAGGTAGATGGCTGTCACTGGTAAACACAGATCTGGCAATTGAGCACACTTAAATCTTAACCTTGCAGTGCGGAGGCCAATATACAGTGTTAGGTCCCAATCCTCTTTTGTAGCAACACCAGCAGGCAACCATCTGGTTTCTCCTCTTGATCTAACACCATGAGAAAAATAAGAATCAGTGTGGAAAAGGGCAGTATCAAGGGGAATTAAATCAAATCAAAAGCTTTAGTATAAATACTGAGACCTGAAAGAAGCCAAGTAAAGCCTGACCAAACTTCTCATCTCCAAAAATGTAGCAGAAGGCAAACAAAGAAAGGGGAAGAAAAAAAGTGGATGAAAGAAATTATCCTTTGCATTTTTCTCTGAGTTAAGATTTGAAATATACAGTAGCTACACTTTGTTTGACATGGTCACTGGAAAGAAATAAAAATGTTCCAAATAGGAACAATGATCCCTCCAGGTTAAAAGTACTAGCATCTCACACACCCAGTACATTCAAAGTCCATCCTTCTCTCCCAAGACAGGCCTTGGGAATCAGGAGACTCTCTAATCCACCCTGAAATAGGAGTTCACCTTTAAGCTATGGAAACATGCGCTTCTATTTGACAGTTTACCTCCATCAACAAAAATCAACAGACAAGTACAACACAACAGCCTCAAAGACAGAGCCCCAAATTTAAAAGGAAAATTTCTCCTGGAAATACAAATATTAACATAGATACTTCTTCAGTAAATGAATAAGATCAAAATACTTGCTGATGTACTTAACAAAAAAATCAGATGTGAAAAATAAAGTTTTCCTAGAAATGACAAATATTATAGTATTAAGAAAGAAGAAAGGAAGGAAAGAAGCCTGGCTATCTAAAGAGATTAAAAGAAAATTGACACAGTTCAAACTTAAGGTAGTGCCAAAATACAAAGAGAAGGAAAATTTAAGGGAAATTGTAGTTGGAAGTTGGTATCAATGTTTGACCAATAGATATCATAGTATAGAGGTAGAAAGTTGGGCACAGAAGCCAGACTTCCTGGGTAGTTGAATGCCTGGTCCTATAGCTTACTACTATTTTACTTAACTGCTCTGTAAAATGGATATAATAATAATACCTACTATTGGTGTTTGTAACAAGAAGTAGAAATGTTACAAGGAAAATGCTCATATGAGTGAGTGCATACCACATGTTTACTATTAAATGAGCCCCATCAAAAGACATTCCTGTAAAGGGAGTTTGGGGAAATATAGAAGAATAATTAGAAAGGAGGAGAGAGACACAATATTTATCTGAAGATGTATTTAGCTGGCTGGTAAGCTGATAAAGAAAATCATGTAGGATTTGCCCTAGAGCTATGGATTAGCTTGGCAACATTTATAAATTTTAAAGTTTTTAATGTTTCTGTTCATGAAAATGTTATATCTCTTTATTTAGTTCTACTTTAATATCTTTTAATAAAGTTTTACAATTTTCTACATAACAATCTCCATATTTTTGTTAGATTTATTCCTAGGTCTTGCATCCTTCTGTTGCCATTATATTCTTGTATTGTTATAGTGTGTTGTATCTCTTTTTACATATCTTTTTGTGTTTGGGGCTGGTAATTAAAAATGCAGTAAGCCAATGAATTGTACTTTTGGATCTGTTAAACTTGCTGAATTCAGTTACTAATTATAATTATGTATCAATTGTTTTACTTTTCTATATGAGCAATCATATCATCTATCGATATTGTGATTCTGCTTCTTCTTTTTCACTCATTTCACATAACTTATATGATTGTGCCAGTTAAACCTTCCAGTATAACGGTGAAGGGCTCTAGCCAGCACCTCCCATGTGTACCTGATTTGAACAGGAAAGTTTACCTTTGAGTGGAATGTTTGTGCTACATTTTATAGATGGTCTGTATACAGTGAAGGAAACTTTTTTCTATTCCCAATTTACAGGGGATGTCCCTTTGCATTTTGTTGAAATGCATAATCTATTCTCCATATTTCCTGGAGAGAGATTGCTCCCTCAAATGTTTTTATTTAGTTATATTTGATTCTTTGGAATAAATTTGATTTTTAGTTGCTTCGTTTCTATCATGAATACTATTGCCAGCATTTCAGAGGTTGTAACAATAAAATAAAAGCAATAATAATAATGATAAAAATAAGTTTCACTAGTTGATTTTCTATTTAATGCATAGTATTAAGAATGACTTTGTTGGGCCGGGGATTTAGCTCAGTGGTTTCACTGCTGGGCAAGCGCAAGGACCCGAGTTCGATCCCTGGTACCAAAAAAAAAGAATGTCTTTGTTTTGTTCCTTGATATATCTGTGATCCTTTCAATAATATCCAAGTAAGTGAGACTTAACACAGCCAAAAGCTGTTTGTTTCAAGTCCCAAGTAGCAAATGAAAGCATCTGGATATAAACCTAGCATGATATAATTACATAACTTGTGCTGTCATCCTTGGTAGTTATGAGACCCTTTCTGGCATATACATATCAGATATATATCAGAAATTTATATATATAATTTGCTTTTTGAGACAGAATCTTGCTATGTAGGTCAGACTGGGCTCAAGTTCACTGTATAGCCCAGGCTGGCCTTGAACTTGCAAGGATTCTCCTGCCTCGGTCTCCCTAGTTCTGAGATTACGGGTACCTACCACCATACCTGGCTCTTTTCTGCATAATAAATATCAACTTAATTTTGTTTACTATCCTATCAGGAAGCACTTAACACTTCAGCTTATAAGCACTCCCAGTTCACTTCCATGTCTTCTAAAGATTATATTTGTCACAGGTTTTCTTTTGTTTTTCTTTTCCCTGGCCATCATCCTCAGTAGTACATGATTTTACAGTGTTAGTTGGACATTCCAGGAACTATAGTTGCTGGAATGTATAACACTGAAACTGGAAAGTAGACTGAAAGACAGTCATATTTAAGGAAAAAGCAAGGAGGGTTTTCAGAATAGCAATGCAGCATGTGATTGTCCTGTGTAAACAACAAAAGCACATGCCATTTTGCTTAACTGATAGAAGGTGAAATAACAGAGATGGCATTCTCCTGTGAGCAGTACCCTGCACAAGACCAAGTGGTGTCAAAGTGATGACCCAGTTGACCCTATTTGTCATAGATATGGTGAGGCAAAAGGAGTTTGACTTGAATTTAGAAGATAAAGCTTTTGCCAGAACCATAATGAGGACCTAAGGTTCAGAGAAGACATGACATAGCATATAAGTTCATAGTTTAGAATGTATGTGAAAAACCAGCCAAGCTCCAAGTAATGACCACTGCCCTTCAGTCAAGTCTTCTGTCTCAGGGTTTGGACTCAGTGGGATTGCAGAATCACCTGAATCTGTGATAGACAATGTGAGTTGGGGTAGAATGTGCACATGAACATGCTTCTTTTTTTCCCATTAAGTTTATTGGTACATTTTAGGTGTAAAATGCAGTTACATTCATCATTAGGATCTTGTACCTTTACAGGATGTATCTTGGTTCTTATTTTTTTCTTCTTCCCCTGCCCTCACCCCCTCCACCCTTCCCTATTTGCAAAGACTTTTTTTCCATTTTTTTTCCTTTTCTCATATTTTTCTTCTCCCTTCTTTCCTTTCCCCTACCCCTCCCACTTCCCCTACTCCTTTAGAACTTTTCTTCCTATTACACAATATCAATTATACATTTTTTAGTTACAATATCAAGATCTAAAAGAGATTACCACAGATTTTGCAGAATTTAAAAGAATATAGAAAGCATATTACAAAAATCTTTTTTGAAATAAATTTGACAACTTCTAAGAAGTACCTTGGAAGACAAATTAATGA